CCCAGATGAAGAATTTAGTACGTCGATCTTAGCGAAAATTAACAACACGGAAAGACCTTAAGAAAGACATCAGACAATAATAACTGTGTTTTCCTTCTTGTCTCCGGGAACCAGGGTTCGTAGATGTTATTAAGAACTATGAAATTACCTGTGGGTTAAAATTTCCCGTAACCACAACCCTTAAATTTTATGGAACAGGAGTCCAGATATTTAGTGATTTTAAGTTTGCCTCTGATATGACCCAGTAGAAAGCCGAGTGTCACTGAAGAAAGTTTGCGTTAGAGACCAGGTTTTAGGATGTGTCGTTTATAAAGTTCTTTCGCTTAATCTGTATTTTATTGAGACATTTTGTGTTTAAAAGAACGTCTGTCAGATAATTCTTGTGTTTTAGTGGTTCTGTTTTAGTGGTCCTGTTTTAGTGGTCCTGTTTTAGTGGTCCTATTCTAGTGACCCTGTTTTTAGTGGCCCTATTTAATGGTCCAATTTTAGTGGTCCTGCCCTAGTGGTCCTGCTTTAGAGGTCCTGTACCAAATTCTAAGACCATGTGTTTTAAAGTTCTGTGTTTTAAACGTTCCTGTGTTTTAAAGTTCTTTGTTTTAAAGTTCTGTGTTTTAAAGTTCTGTGTTTTAAACGTTCCTGTGTTTTAAAGTTCTGTGTTTTAAAGATCTGTGTTTTAAAATTCTGCGTCTTAAAGTTCTGTGTTTTAAAGTTCCTGTGCTTAAAAATACTGTGTTTTAAAGTTCTGTGTTTTAAAGTTCTGTGTTTTAAACGTTCCTGTGTTTTAAAGTTCTGTGTTTTAAAGTTCTGTGTTTTAAAGTCCTGTGTTTAAAAGTTCTGCGTTTTAAAATTCTGTTTTAAAGTTCCTGTGCATTAAAAGATTCGTTCCTTTAAAAACCTGGTTATCCTTAAAATTATAAAACCTGATTAACGTTAAAAATCAAAACACAAAAAACACCGTGTTAACTCTCTCTCTCAACTCCTTTGGATTTTCCGACCATCTGATCCTCGACTTGAAAACAAAAACAATAACACAGGATGAAGAAGAATTTAATGCTTATCTCCGTTTTCTCTTCACAGTTAGTTGTTACGTTTTCTCTCTATTCCTCATTTACTTCGCTGCCCGTTTCTGCCATTCTATCATCCTATTTATATCATGAATATTTGAGTTATTATTAGTGTGTTGGTCAGTGTTATTTGTTGATGGCGATTTGTATTTAGTTTATTTTATCTACGGTTAGTTTACGTGTTTTTTGTTGTTTGATTTTAGTTTATTAGTTGTAGCTTTACCTGTATTTGTATCTCTGATTGTGACGGTACCTGTACCTGTACCTGTACCTGTACCTACACCTGTAACTGTACCTGTACCTGTCTGTCTGTCTTTTCTGTCTCATTATCTTTTCCCCTTTTCTCTCTCTCTCTTTGTCTCTCCCATTTTCTCTCTCTCGTATTCTATTTCTGTCGTTTTCTCTCTTTCTCTCTCCACCTCCCCCTTTTTTCTCTATATATATCTCACTCTATTAACTGATATAAATATATTCATCTGAGTTGGGGTGCTCCAGGCCAGGTTAAGAAGGTGTGTTGTGTTGGTTTCATTAATAGGTCAGTAACCGGTTTATAGAGTAGTGTTGAGTAAGCTGCTGCCCTGGCCCTGATACTGCTATTGGTGTTGACGTAATGGTAAGTCACACCAGCTCCACCCTGACTGTACTACACGATGTTCTGCCTCTGAGGGTGTGGAGGTGGTGGTGTATAGAGAGCTATTGGTATAGGCTTTAATTAACCTAAGATTGATTTCCTATATTTTGTGTATTATTCAGAGTTGAGAATATGATCAAGTGAATATTTTTATTTTTTATTTTTTTGGTATTTGTTGTCTTTAGTTTGTCTTCATGTCTCGTTCTGTGTTATTCTTTCAATTATTCCTTCCATCATTCTTTCTCCTCCCTTCCCATCAGCATTTTTTTTTCAGTTTTTTGTTTCTCTTGTTCATCCCCAGATTCCCCATATGATAGCTAAACAGATAGATAGACTGGTGTATGCAGAGTCTATATTTGTTTCCAGTGTCGGTAGTTCCTCAAATATTTCTATACAATTTGGGGTTATTTTCTCGTTTTAAGTTTCTATGTAAAGTTAGTAAGGGAATTAAAGCTGACAAAACCATGACATTACCTATAGTGATAACTGGTCATACAAAGTCTGAAGCAACATCAATAAAGGCGTTGTTTACTGGTCACGCCGCCATGTCCTGTGGTGCAGGTATTTGTTGTTTGTCCTAGGAAAAGAAGGACGAAACCCCAACGACTGAAACGAGTAAAACTACCACAACAACTACAATTCTGATGTTGCTAACGGAGCTTAACAACCCTGACGATTGAAACACCTAAAACAACCAGAACAACTACAATTCTCATGTTGCTAACGGAGCTTAACAACCCTGACGACTGGTCCCTAACACAAAAACAAGTACAAGAGCTCTGGCACACATCAGTTACAAGGCCCTTCTCCTCAGATCGTCAGGGTGTGAGCCACTATGTGAAGGAGCTGCCACACTATACACAAAAATACATATAAAACAGGTTTATTATTATTTTCCTTTAATTTATAAAAGACATCATGTAACAGAATCGTAGCTTCGGGGCTCTGGGGTAGCGGCCATGTACTGTAAAAGAACTATGGATACAAGCACACTAACTCACGACTTGCCCGTGTTGCTGTGTAGTCGTAGGGATATTTGGATCAGTTATGAATATTAATGAAATTTAAATAACGTTATATATAAATAGAGATAATCTTTATGTTTTCATTACGTATATGTGAAAATTAACTATTTGAGCCACACTTGTCAGCTTACTGTACTGTATATGCCACTGCTTAGGGTGTGGCTGAATCGGCTTTAACTGTGTATTAGAGGCGCAAAAGAAATATAGCATCTTGGAAGATGTCTTCAAATTCTTTTATTCTTCATAAAGCAAGAGATTGTGACCCATCTTGTAGAGTTCAAGAGCGTCTGACAGCGTCCTCACCCGCCTGCAGGTCTCCCAGGCGCTGTTTGTCACTTTGTGCACTTGAAAGTGAAAGTGGGTCCCATAAGCATGACTGCCCATTAGGAACTGTGTGGACACGGCGCACTTTATACTTAGCCACCGGGAAGTAAGGCGGGAAGTAGCCTACACTGCACTAAACTACCGTCACTTCCCCAACTGTTAAGTTAGGTACCCATTTACAGGTGTGTGAGCTGAGAGTTCCTCGGGATCGAATCATCGAACCTTAAAACAAAGGGGCGAGCGCTGCATCCACTCAGTATTTAATGAGCCCAAAATTTAATTGTCGAACTCATTTGTGGTTTATCTATATAAACAATTCATCGGAGACTATTAAAACCAGCTCATAACTGGCACACTTATTTACTGAACCAGTAACGGGCCATTAAATGTTGAACTATTAAGAGCTTCAACGGAGCAACAACTGGTTAACTAATTCACTAAATCTTAAATGGACAATTAATTGGACAGCTCATTCCTACACCACCATGGAACGTGCAAGTGTGTGTGTGTGTGATCGTATATGTGTGACGTGAGAACGGCCTGCCACGTCACGTACGTAGCTTGTGGTCACAGTCAGCCGCCCACCAGTGTGTGTGTGTCACTTCTCAACTCAGAGTAAAAGCTTTGTTTTCTTCTACGCTTCTAAGAGAAAGTCACGTGTGTGCCGCTGCAGTGAAAGTTCGAACGTGAGTCCTGGTATTATGTAGCTAAACTTTAGATCATCTGGCATGGGCGGGGACGTTGGTTCGAGTCGACGGCGTCCGGCGATGGTATAATAGTTGAGGTGGTGGGAGTGAGGAGTTGTGATCACCGCATGGCCAGCAAATATTACCCAGCGAGATTATTTTACGGCGATTGACGTCACAAGGAGAAAACTTGAGCTCGAAATTCCACGGCGGCAGCAAGTCTTCAGACCCCAGCTGGAAACACCAGGCCAGTTTCTCTTCCTGGATAGAGAATAGGAGTGTTTCATTTCCCACTGAATTTAGATATTACATGTCCTTGAAACAACACCATAAGTCTTCCTAACATACAGTAGCTTCACCATTACTGACAACCTATCCACTCATGCAACGACTTATTATTCCTGAAAACGATAATAAGAATCAACTTTTACTTTTAAACTCGAGAGAGAGAGAGGGGGGGGGTGGATGGTAACTCTCGGTCAGTGACGGTGTTAAAAGGGCAGGATCCACGTAATCCTCCAAAACCTACTTTCATGGTGACCTCGGTGGCCGGACTGACTTGTGCGGTATGTTGTTTGGTTGATGTCAGAAAGGTAAGTGGACCGTTTGGATCAGGTTCGTTTTTCTCCCGTCTACATGTTCATCGAGCATTCGGATATCAGATGGATCTCTTCTCTCATCATGATGTAAAGTTCTTCCGTCGCTAGTTCATAAATAGTTTCCTTTGACGATACTCTTATAAGGTATATATTTTTAAGGAGGATTTTAGGTTGTTACAAATACCTGTGCACATTCAGGATAACATCAATTCTATTATTCGAGGCATCAGATACTTGTTAAGGTGTCGAGTTCACATACAAATAAAATTTCTTATCCTTGTCACTTTTTCACTGTTTATATCCTGCTATTTATCTTTTTTTTTTAATTATCGAACAACTTCTCTTATAAAGTACCAATTGATAATGTCTCACCTCCTCCATTCTACGTTGGTTTATATTGGTCCTCCCACATCTGTCAGCTGACCCATAAGAAACCAGGTCTAGTGGCGATGATATCCAAGGAACGTCAATCTTGTCGAGGCATTATTCTTGATCTGAATGTCTGTATGAAAATGTATCTGGGCAAAAACGGTAGCGAATGTCGGTGAATGTGTTTTGATGGTCTACTCCTTTCCGTCTCTCTTTACTCCTAACACTTATCTCACTCCCTTCCGCCTTCATGACTCTCTCTCTCTCTCTCTCTCACATACCACCCGGCGCCACCTCCCTACCTGTGGTCTGGTCGTCTCAAGGCCCCCCCGCGTACTGTTAGGGCCGCGGCTGTGAGCTCCGTTACCCGCTGGGGCCACTCCTTGTGCCAAATGGGGATAGTTCAGGGACCGCTACTAGCCCAACCCTCACCCCCCCCCTTCACCTCCCTCGCCTCACCCTAACACGCCTGCCCACCCCAGTCCACTGTCCATATTCACTCCTGTTACCACTCAATTACACCCAAACATACACAAACAACCACTCATACACAGACCCAATCACGCCCATATACGCTTACACGGTCTCTAATCATGCTCCAGCTCCCCCACACGCCTAAATCCGGATCTGAGTCGAGACTGAGTATATTACAAAGGCATCTTCAGTCCATCTTGCGGGTGTGATTCGCGAGAGAGAGAGAGAGAGAGAGTCTTAATTGCGGAAACTCTTGTATATTAACTTACTAAATCATAACAGAAAGACTTCCAAGGTCTGTGAGGGCAGCTATTCAACAACTCTCGGCACTAATGACTCGACATGACTTCCACTTTATTCCAGGTTACAGAGTGTCGTTCATACCACCGCTTACTTTGGGTCATTGCATGTTGAAATACAATGCAACCTGTTTAAGCTTTCTTAACCCGGTTATTCAAAAGAAATATTTTTATACTGTTATTGATATTGTAATAATAATCATAATGATAATATAAATAATAATAATAATAATAATAATAATAATAATAATAATAATAATAATAATAATAATAATAATAATAATAATAATAATAATAATAATGATAATAATAATAATAATAATAATAATAATAATAATAATAATAATAATGCTAATGTAATGATAATGAAAATGCTAATTATCATTATTATTATTATTATTCCTATTATAATTATATTTTTTCTTTTGATTTTGTAATTTTTATTATTATTATTATTTTAGTAGCCGTTAGCATTATTGTTATTTTTGTTGTCATTGTTTCTATCATGATAATTATAATTAATTTAATATTCACTGAGATTGTTATTATTATTACTAATACTTTTATTACAGGATGACTAATACTGACCAAGCGAAACCAATACTTTTTATACTAAGAGTTACGTGATACTGTAAATGAGGTCAGGTTGTATGTGAAGAATGTCCACCAGTGTTTTTGTTGAAGACAACGATACCCTTAGTGTGTGTTTATACTTCACTTTCACTATTCACTTACACTTATCTCCCAGTCCTGTGACGCACTTCTCTCTCAGGTTAATATGGTGACAGTGTGGCACTATTGATGAGAGTGACACTGTTGATGATGAGTGTGGCACTATTGATGAGAGTGACACTGTTGATGATGAGTGTGGCACTATTGATGAGAGTGACTCTGTTGATAATGAGTGTGGCACTATTGATGAGAGTGACACCGTTGATGATGAGTGTGGCACTATTGATGAGAGTGACACTGTTGATGATGAGTGTGGTACTATTGATGAGAGTGACACTGTTGATGATGAGTGTGGCACTATTGATGAGAGTGACTCTGTTGATGATGAGTGTGGCACTATTGATGAGAGTGACTCTGTTGATGATGAGCGTGGCACTATTGATAAGAGTGACACTGTCGATGATGAGCGTGATGATGAGCGTGGCACTATTGATAAGAGTGACACTGTTGATGATGAGTGTGGCACTATTAATGAGAGTGACTCTGTTGATGATGAGTATGGCACTATTGATGAGAGTGACACTGTTGATGATGAGCGTGGCACTATTGGTGAGAGTGACTCTGTTGATGATGAGTGTGGCACTATTGATGAGAGTGACTCTGTTGATGATGAGTGTGGCACTATTGATGAGAGTGACTCTGTTGATGATGAGTGTGGCTATTGATGAGAGTGACTATGATGAGTGTGGCACTATTGATGAGAGTGACTCTGTTGATGATGAGTGTGGTACTAGTGATGAGAGTGACTCTGTTGATGATGAGTGTGGCACTATTGATGAGAGTGACACTGTTGATGATGAGTGTGGCACTATTGATGAGAGTGACACTGATGATGATGAGTGTGGCACTATTGATGAGAGTGACACTGTTGATGATGAGTGTGGTACTATTGATGAGAGTGACACTGTTGATGATGAGTGTGGCACTATTGATGAGAGTGACACTGTTGATGATGAGTGTGGCGCTATTGATGAGAGTGACACTGTTGATGATGAGTGTGGCACTATTGATGAGAGTGACTCTGTTGATGATGAGTGTGGTACTAGTGATGAGAGTGACTCTGTTGATGATGAGTGTGGTACTAGTGATGAGTGACTCTGTTGATGATGAGTGTGGCACTATTGATGAGAGTGACACTGTTGATGATGAGTGTGGCACTATTGATGAGAGTGACACTGTTGATGATGAGTGTGGCACTATTGATGAGAGTGACACTGTTGATGATGAGTGTGGCACTACTGATGAGAGTGACTCTGTTGATGATGAGTGTGGTACTAGTGATGAGAGTGACTCTGTTGATGATGAGTGTGGCACTATTGATGAGAGTGACTCTGTTGATGATGAGTGTGGCACTATTGATGAGAGTGACTCTGTTGATGATGAGTGTGGCACTATTGATGAGAGTGACTCTGTTGATGATGAGTGTGGCACTATTGATGAGAGTGACTCTTTTGATGATGAGTGTGGCACTATTGATGAGAGTGACACTGTTGATGATGAGTGTGGCACTATTGATGAGAGTGACTCTGTTGATGATGAGTGTGGCACTATTGATGAGAGTGACTCTGTTGATGATGAGTGTGGTACTAGTGATGAGAGTGACTCTGTTGATCAACAAATTGTGGCTATTGATGAGAGTGACTCTGTTGATGATGAGTGTGGCACTATTGATGAGTGAGCTCTGTTGATGATAAGGTGTGGTACTAGTGATGGTGACTCTGTGTTGATGATGAGTGTGGCGCTATTGATGGGAAGTGACACTGTTGATGACAGAGTGTGGCACTATTGGTAAAGTGACACTGTTGATGATGAGTGTGGCACTATTGATGAGAGTGACTCTGTTGATGATGAGTGTGGCACTATTGATGAGAGTGACTCTGTTGATGATGAGTGTGGTACTAGTGATGAGAGTGACTCTGTTGATAGTGAGTGTGGCACTATTGATGAGAGTGACTCTGTTGATTATGAGTGTGGTACTAGTGATGAGAGTGACTCTGTTGATGATGAGTGTGGTACTAGTGATGAGAGTGACTCTGTTGATGATGAGTGTGGTACTAGTGATGAGAGTGACTCTGTTGACGATGAGTGTGGTACTAGTGATGAGAGTGACTCTGTTGATGATGAGTGTGGTACTAGTGATGAGAGTGACTCTGTTGATGATGAGTGTGGTACTAGTGATGAGAGTGACTCTGTTGATGATGAGTGTGGTACTAGTGATGAGGTGACTCTGTTGATGATGAGTGTGGCACTATTGATGAGAGTGACTCTGTTGATGGTATGGTACTAGTAAGGCTCTGGTGATGGTGATGTGCTGGTGATGAGGTGACTCTGTTGATGATGGAAGTGTGGTACTAGTGGTAAAGTGACTCTGTTGATGATGAGTGTGGCACTATTGATGAGGTGACTCTGTTGATTATGGTGGTACTAGTGATGAGAGTGACTCTGTTGATGATGAGTGTGGTACTAGTGATGAGAGTGACTCTGTTGATGATGAGTGTGGTACTAGTGATGAGAGTGACTCTGTTGATGATGAGTGTGGCACTATTGATGAGAGTGACTCTGTTGATGATGAGTGTGGTACTAGTGATGAGAGTGACTCTGTTGATGATGAGTGTGGTACTCGTGATGAGAGTGACTCTGTTGATGATGAGTGTGGTACTAGTGATGAGAGTGACTCTGTTGATGATGAGTGTGGCAGGGTTAGGGTGTGTCAGTTTTGGTAAAGTCAACAATTAAAAAACTACTAGGACTCAAATAATGCCAATTTATATAAGAAACATAGAAATGCCTTTTTTATTGTTTGAAAAGACCATTTACCTACTTATGTTTGCCCACAAATTTGTAATATATAAGCTAAATATGACGATCATTGTATATCAATGTGTCATTGACATGTGTGGTCAACTTTGGTGCACGGTTTCTAAGTTTTACACAGTCACAAATGGTGAAGTTTTGATTGTCAATATATGTATTTCCCTCCTTTTTGACGATTGTGATAACTTCGCAATGTAAATATTGTGAGGTTCACATTGACTGCAGATGCAGGAAGGAACAGTGCAGGAGCTTGCCTTCATCAGAGGTTAGAGATAAAAAGTTGGTAGTGTTGGTCCACACCAGATGGGTCTGGCTGATCGCCTTGAGACCAGGAGACAGGAAGCAGTGCTGTATAGACAGCAGCAGAAAAGGAAAGCCGAAAAGGAGAGGAGGAGGAAGACAGAGGAGTCAGCCAAGAAAAAAGAGTAGTTGAGGAATGGCACTGATGACGATGATAAGGGTGGCACTGATGATGATGATAAGGGTGGCACTGATGATGATGATGATAAGAGTGGCACTGATGATGATGATGATAAGAGTGGCACTGATGATGATGATAAGGGTGGCACTAATGATGATGATGATAAGGGTGGCACTGATGATGATGATAAGGGTGGCACTACTGATGATGATAAGAGTGGCAACGATGATGATGATAAGAGTGGTACTGATGATGATGATAAGGGTGCTTTTTAGTATTGATGATAAAGTGGCGCTTGCAGTAATTATTGATGGTGGCACTGGTAGTGATGATAAAGGGTGGCACTATTGATGATATGATAAAATTGGCACTGATGAAGTGATGATAAAGGGTGGCAACGATGATGATGATAAGAGTGGCACTGATGATGGTACGAAATTGGTACTGATGATGATGATGATAAGAGTGGCACTGATGATGATAGAGTGGTACTGATGATGATGATAAAATTAAGCAACGATGATGATGATAAAATTGGCACTTTGATGATGGAAGAAAAGAGTGGCACTGATGATGATAAGAGTGGTACTGATGATGATGATAAGAGTGGCACTGATGATGAAGAAAAGAGTGGCACTGATGATGA